GGATCAAGGCCTTTAGTTCTTGAGTTCGAATAGTAGGCTGAGGATGCTTATGATTATTGACAATCAAAAAAAAGCCCGAACAAATACCTGTACAGGTTGCTCAAAAATTTACATATTATGGCGCGGCTGCACTCGTCGCTTTCGCAGTTTGAACAGTCGCATTTCCTTTGCTTTCTTCTTTTCGGAGAGTTTTTTTCGCATGATATGTTGGCTGTTAGAAACTTGAAGGACTGAGCTAAGGCTAAAGTGTTAGAAGCCTATAGCTGTTTTTCGCACTGTATGTCGCTTGACCTTTGGTCATTTAAGAGACAAACGATCTGATACAATACCACTCCTATTTCTTGAAAAAAAAAACGAAGACGCACAGTCGCCCGATTCATGTGACATCACCGGATCGCAGTCATATCTCGCTTTAGAGTGGACTTAATCTTAATCCAAGGGCACCACCAAAGGGTATCTTCCGATACGTAGAAAAATGCCCGTTTGGACACAGCAAGAGGTCAGATTCCACAAATAGTTTCAGATTTTTGCTTACGATAGGCTTCTCAGTGTGCTTATTCACTGCACTTACTGGGCAACCTACCGTAAGCAAAAATCTGAAACGATTCGTGGATGACCTCCTATTGTGTCTAAGCGAGCACTTCTAAACGTCAGATGTGACGCGCGCTGGGTCAAATGGTGCTCTTTGATTGAGAATTTGCCCACTTTGAAGCGAGGTATGGCCATGCTCCGGTGATGTCACATGAATCAGGGAATTTTGCGTCGTTTTTTGAGAAGCGGTATTGTGCATTCTCCCAAAAATCTTTTTCGAAAAAAAAACTACATTTATGGTTTACTGACATTTTGTTTCAGCTCCGGGTGTTGTAGTTCTCGTGTCATGAATTGGAGTTTCTTCAGTAGTTGTTCCTAAAATCATATCTTTCAAAGACCAATAAGCAAAATTCAAGATTCTTCGATTCAAAATCGCTTGATTGAGAGGCAAACTATTATGATGCTATCTTGACAATCCTTACTATGTAGATACATTGACAGTCAGTAGTTCTAGATCAATTCGCCTTTTTACTAAATAGTTGAGCTCAAGACAAGACTCTAACGAATAGAAACCAAGGGCTTATATAAGACAGCTGACTGGAACAAACGAACATTTTTGTTGCCCACTTTTCTTTGAATCTACTGAACCTTGATACTTGAGAAGAGATTGAATGTAAGGATATATGATACAACTGCAAATATGAAAAAAAGTGTTTTTGAAATTTGTTGAGAAAAATTTCTTGGAAAAAAGGCTTCCGAGCATACATTCATCGAGTTGAAAACCCCAAAATGATACTAATTATTGGGCTATGAAGAACATTTTCAAGCCAACGAAAATGCGCGTCAAAAGAAATGCATTTTCACATGGCTACTGCAAAATCAAACGTTTTGGTGAAGTATGTAGCATTTGCAGCTAGCTATCATTTTGGGTAGCCGTTATACTGAGAGCGGAAGTAATTATAAACTATCCTAAGAAGGCAAGTGTCCGCTTTTTTCAGGGACCAGGAAATGCACGATTGCGTTGCTAAAATTTTCAAAGACAACTCCCCCCACAGATGTTCGCCGTACAAATACGTCTAACCAGCATATTTATTTGTTGATAGATTCTTCTATTCCGAGAGAAGCGGAACGAACTTAATAAAGGGTCTTATATGAAGGCAGACTTACTCTAGGGAAAAACTTCCTAGGAAAAACTATCTACTCAGGCGTCTTCCCGCATCTTTCTCGTTTTTTGAAAAAAAGCTGCTTTGTCTGTAGAAAACTGATCTTAAAAAAGACTTATCTGCGGGAAGGATTGTACGCTAGATTTTAGAGTTTTGTTTTGCACCGAATTTTGAAAGCTCACTTGATGGGCTAAGGAATTTAGAAGCTAAGATTTGCAGAGCATTCTCTTTCCTAAAAACATATCAAGAAGTTTTTGATTGTAGCCACAAGAGATAACATCTACTGGTTTGAATTTTGATTTAGAAGACAAAATACTACGACTTCACCAACTGCAAGAATCTTTTGTTTTACAGAACGATCTCTTCTTCGCTAGAACTCTGTTGTTTGAATTTAAAAGTAAAGAAAAAGTTAGTTTTGAAGTTGCATCATTACCATCAGATTAGCTTTCCAACTAACAGGAGTATAGATAGAAACGTGAAATATTTGAGTCCTTTTCCATATTTCAGCTCAATTTTTTTCGATTACCTCTGAATGTAGTTGTTGGCACAGTCGTTGTATAATCAATAATCTCTCGAACTACATTTTCGACATCTGTATCATAATCATTGACAATAATAGTCTCACCGCCGAGTTTGAGATTAGCTCCTAAATTACAGTGAAATGAGCTTAAATTTGTAAATTCCTTTGAACTTTATTTATTTTTGACCGCTTACTTCGCAAACTTACAACTATGACTTTTGCAAACTTTTCGCTTGAGATAGAATCACTGAAGACATTTGAATCATTTCTGCAAAAAGGTTGAAATCATCAGCAGCGTCACAAATGCTAAGTGATACTTACGCAGCCGAAAAGAATACCAAATAAGTTGCATTCCCATTGCTAATCGCATTTATGCGCGAGATTATCCTGTAAAGTTTCGGTAATACCCTCTTAAAAATGTTCAAATTTTGAATTGAAAAATTGCTAACAAGGAAAGGATACTTGGTGACCATGGCCTTCTGAAGTGAAACGTACACTATTGAATGCATCTTGAAACTCTGATTCCAAATCTGTTTTCATTATCTGCTGTGCGCTCTTCTGGAAGAAGTTATGAACATTTTTTGTCATCAAACTTTGCACTGTTTTTGATGCAGAATTCACCCATATCGTTTGAACGTTCGCTTACGCGCTACAAAAGAGCGCACAGATAAAGGTTTCACGTTAAGCTCAGGAAAACTGTCATCGACACATCAGAGCCTAAAAAGCCTGATTACTGACGATTTTGACTGTCTAAATCTCGCAAAATCAATATGGAAAAAAGTCCATAACTTCGTTCAGGGAGTCGCACAGCAGATAATGAAAACAAATTTAGAATCAGCGTTCCAAGACGCACCTACTGAACACATTACATTGCAAAAGGCCACGGTCACCAGGTATCCCTCCCTCCCTCGTAAGTCGCACCAATTTGCAGGTCAGTGTATAGAGTGTGAGAAAAATATATCATAACTTATAATAACGAGCTAAGGTTGTTTACGTGTTTTTGTGTGTGTATGTGTGTGTGTGTGTGTATGTCTGTGTGTCTGTCTGTAACGAAATTCGTAGAGCGAGTTCCAGCCAACGCCCTGAGCCCAAATTTTGCACATCGCATGCGACCAACATAAGAGCCTACCGTGCAAAAGCACGAGTGGTTTTATTGGTTGGGTCTTTCAGAAACTGCGCGTCAAACGGAACCACTTGGGTACTGACCAGCAAAATTGGTTCCGTATCACCACTTTTTGCAAAGTCGGTGATGTGTTTGGCATGCTGATGTGCAAGCCATGGACCTAAGCCCAAAAAAGTGGACAAAAGTTCACTACTTTAGGAGAACGACGCCAGAAAGAAATGGTAGCGTAAATGATTAATCTGCCATGGTTTTATCTGAGCATTCGAGAAAAATTTTGCACAGAGATGTAGCTCACGTTGCCTACTGTCCTTATGGTAGCTACCAAGCCAGAAAGAGTCCAAAAACCTATTCAAATTTGCATTTGTTCTTTTGCGAAAAGTTTCATCCACGCGAAATTACCGATCTCACATGAAAAAGCATTTTAAATGGGCAGTTGTTTACATTTTGCTCGCGATAATCGGCACTGCGCGGTGAGTTTCATGCTACCTTTAGCAAGAATGAGTAAGGCATATGAAGTAAGACCAGTGCGGGCCTCTGCGAAGCAGAGGTGACGCACTGGTACATAATAATTGATAAAGAAACAACGAAAGTTAAAAGCAAACAGCTAGAAAATCAAGACCTTATAATAACGAGCTAAGGGTTGTGTGTGTGTGTGTGTGTGTGTGTGTGTGTGTGTGTGTGTGTGTGTGTGTGTGTGTGTGTGTGTGTGTGTGTGTGTGTGTGTGTGTGTGTGTGTGTGTGTGTGTGTGTGTGTGTGTGTGTGTGTGTGTGTGTGTGTGTGTGTGTGTGTGTGTGTGTGTGTGTGTGTGTGTGTGTGTGTGTGTGTGTGTGTGTGTGTGTGTGTGTGTGTGTGTGTTCCGTCTGTTACGAAATTCGTAGAGCGTGTTTCAGCCAGCGTTCTAAGCCTAAATTTTGCATGGCGCATGCTACCTTCATGAAAGTCCAGCATACAAAAGCACAGGTAGATCCATTGAGTGGATTGCTCAGAAACTACTCGCCAAACGGATCCACCTGGCTTCTGTCCCGCAAAATTGGGTCCGTATCACCACTTTTTGCAAAGTCGTGGATGTGTTTGGTAAGCAAATGTGCAAGCGATGGACTTTAGCCCAAAAAGTGGTGAAAAGTTTACTACATAACGAAAGCGGCGCCAAAAAGAATTGTTTGCGTAAATGGGTAATTTGCCAAGGTTCTAGCCAAGTACTTGAGAAGATTTTTGCACAGAGTTGTAGCTCATGATGACTGTTGCCTTTATGGCAAATACCAAGCCATGACAAAATCAAAAACCTGTTTAAATTTGCGTTTGTTTTCCTGCGAAAAAATTCATCCACGCGAAATCACCGATCTTACGTGAAAAAGCTTTCTAAATGAGTAGTTGTTTACATTTTGTTCGTGATAGTCGGCATAGCGTGGTGAGTTCCAGTGCCATGATTTTACGAGAATGAGTAAGGCACGTAGATAGTAAAGCCAGTGCGAGCCTCTGCGAAGCAGAGGTGACGCTGGTATTTTCATAACTCGTTTTTTGCGCGAGTTTTATTTTATTGCATATTCTGATAGTTACCACCAATCTTCCAGTGGATGATAACAGTATGTAAGCTTAATAAAACGCGTTTAAATTTTGAGGACTGATCCGCGGTTATCACAACATCTGAAGTTTAACTCACTTTTCGTTGGTGTAAATTGGCGTGATATTTGCATAGCTCATGGTGTTCTCAAAATAGTTTATCAGCTCTGTCCTGTTTCCTTTCATACTCTTCAGTTGTTCCTTCGGTTCAGAAGCATTGGTATAACCATACGCCCAGATTTCTCCCAACACTTCATTGTCAAGGGTATTCTTGACGATCTTGGCAATGAAATCTATTTCCTTAATTGAATGGATGCATAGAGTTCCTATATGCTCTTGATTTAAATTATACCATAAACTAATGCAAATTCCATATATACGTAGGTTGACTCAAAAGCTACTGACAACGTTAGAAAGTCTGCAACTTTTTCCTACAACTGAGCCCATAACTCGCAGAGAAAAAGAAAAAGGGGGCCCGGCGTATGATCCGCGGCGGAACCATTGGAAGGTCATGACTCTGTTCAAATCATTTTCACAAGTTCCTCTGCTCATTGAAAGCTTGGCACAATCGGGAAAACATAAAATTTTCCAAAATCGCACCGTTATAAGAGAATTGGCACTATCGCGACGGAAATGTCAAAGACAAAACCGTCGCATGGTCGTAACTTAGTTTCGAATAGGAATTTCAAATTTCTATCTGTATTTTTTAAATATTAGGTCACTCCGAAAGTAATTTCGCTTTTTTCAAACGGACGCCACATGTGATGGAACAAAGATTCCTAAAGATCTTGGAGGCATTCGATGCAGAATTTCGTCCTCTTTCTAATGATTATAAAATTATTGCAGCATATTCAATGACCTTTCAGAAAATGACCGAAATCTGCGACCCATGCTTTTTGAGATGGTCAAGTTTCACGAATTTTCAAAACTTTCAAGCTAATCCTCAGAAGGAGTTCAAATAACGATTCGATAGAGTAAACCTTATAGAATACAGCATTACCTTTCTCTCTTTCTCGTAGCCGGCCGTAATTTTTTTAAAATTTTTTTAACAGAACCATCGGATTTTGGCAGGCCCACCTCACACAATCGCATCAAATATCATAATTTTTCGAAATTTGAGACTACCAAAATGGTACTATGAGTTAGCGTTGATACGAAGCAACTGAGGGTTTACGATTTCGAAATATCAAATTTCGAGTTTTTCTGGTACAGCCTGGGGCTCGCTAAAAAAATGAGTTATGATGATTTCTCCCCGGAAATAAAACGAATCGGAAATAAAAAACACCTGTTAGAAAAAGGAAAAAATGCTGCATCGAATAGTTGCGAGTTGCTCTTCTTTTGATGTTCTACAAGGATTTAGCTGCTCAAGTATGGAAACCGGTAGCATCAGTTAAAATTCTGTTAATATTGTATGACAAACTATGAAAAGTAGAAAAAAAGTAGTGCTATATCCTATAAGGTTTACTCTATCGAACTGTTACTTGAACTCCTTCTGAGGATAGATATGAAAGTTTTAAAAAATCGTGAAACTTGACCATCTCAAAAAGCATGGGTCGCAAATTTTGGTTATTTTCTGAAAGCTCATTGATTGTTTTGCAACAATTTCATAACCGTTAGAAAGAGAATGAAATGCTGCATCGAATGCCTCCAATATCCCTCAAAAACCTTTGTTCCGTCAAATGTGGTGCCCGTATGAAGAAAGCGAAATTACTTTCGGAATGACCTAAACGACGTTCACGAAAAGTTATGATATCAGAACTTGCAGTGGAAAGCCGCGCGATTGACTACTATTTTGTTTTCATTGTTTTTCACTTTCGTTTATGCAGGTTTTGCTTGAAGGAATAGGTTTGCTTTTCTAATAACTGGTAGCAGATTTTTGCTAGCATACAAATCATGGAAGTTCGAATAATCTTTTTTGCTTTCGTTCCTGGAGGATCTCGCTAGAGTAGCTTCGCTACCAAAAGTTAATAATTATTCTGTTCAGCAAATCAATTCATGCAAATTCATCTGGATAATAGTGCAAATTCTCAAAACGCGCAGAGAAGCTTTCATGCGAACCTAATTTATGTGCAGCATAGAAAAGAAAGCTTACGAAGGATATCTTGGACCAAAACTACTTACTTTTGTGTAGTTTGAAGCGTCAAAGTTCAGAAGATCTACAACGAAGAGGCAGCGCTTTTCTTCGTCCGGCGTAAAGGCTTAACAAAAAATGAATTGATTCGGCAATATTTTAAGAATTAACAGCAACGGTACTGATTATGCCGTGTTGCAAGTGCTGACGGTGCTCTTTCAAGAAACTCTCTTTGTAAATTACGGATACTTTTGAGAAATGCAACTTTAGTTCTTTGAAAGTCACTAGCTCATATTCGCACAAATTGTCGCCTATTTACATCGCTGTTTTGCTATGCGAGCAGAGGAAATTGCTCCTCCTTGCATTTTTCAAGACAAAAAGTGTTACAATACAGGAATCGCAAAGTGTGAAAGTCTTAATGCTTGTATGCTTTCACTAAGCAACACCCAGATTCCGACCGGACCGAGGTCAATGGGCCAGCACGAACGCAGCAGAGTCTTGCATTCGGCAAAAGTGCTACCTTTTTCCGCCCTTTTCTTTAAAACTCTTTGTGCTTTGTATATTGACTCAACGATCGTTCCAAGGAACCCTCTCATGTCACTGTTGTTGGGATCAGCGATTTTGCTTTTGCTCATTAATCTGATTTTCTCAAATGCTAAACAATGCATGCTCTTTATCAGTTTGCAGTTTTTTGTCTTATTTTTGCAAAAAGCGTATTAATAACGCTCTATGGCGACTTTTTGCAGCGGAAATTGCAATCGGAACGACCCTTTTGATTGAGAAGACGATTTTAAAACTGCGAGTTTCTCCCTGATCGAAGGGATTTTGCAAATAGTGAAGGTGGCTGTACAATATAAAGGCGCTACAAAGAAGAAAGCGTCGATATCTTACACAAAAACGAAAGTATTCCGTTAAAATCAATTCTGACCTCGAAGTATTGCAATACAAACGGCAGTTGTGTGAGTATACAGGGTGCGACAAAATTACCGGCGCCAACTTTACAAATGCTGCCAGAAGGAACCATTGGAAAATACAGGGTCAAATTTGTGCTATAAAAGGCACTAATCAATCTCTACTATATACATTTCATTGAATTCAAAAAGATCCCTACTAAAGAATTTGAGAATTAAAAGAATCAGACCAGTATTTCCAAGAAAGGCAAAAATGAAATTTTTATACTTCAAAATTTGCTCTCTAACTGAATAAATTCAAAGCCTTTCTAGACCTTTCCAAGGTAAAATTGTAAAGCATAATTTGCACTATCACAAAGATCTAATGCATCTGCAGGATTTGTTCCTTCACGAAATAAGAAATTGTTTTTGCGAAAAATACTTGCGTACGAGCAATGACCTTAAGTTCAAAATCGATTATTAGGCCCCAGATATGCAAAACCTTTTAGACAAAAATAGCTCCCTATTTGTAAGACATGTAGAAGAACATCTAGTTAGAAGCGATCACCTGAGATAGTTTTAAATCTGATTTAGAAGGCATTTTCTGATCCTAAGGCGCACTCACGAAGGCCAAAAATACAACAATTTTCGGTATGCCGCCTCTCAACCATGTTAAAGACGTGGAGGAGATTGTCCGCAACGAGAAGTCCTCCTACAGTTTGTTGTGGGCGACTTCAATGCGAAAATAGGAATGCCACTAAAGAAGGAATATAGGATCGGGAAGTCTGGACGTGGGCTCCGAAACGAAAATGGCGAACTCTCGTTGGCCTTCTCGCGACTTTTCTTTCGTCTTCCATCTTCATGAAGAAAGAACAGCTCCGGTAGACATGGGAACGCCTAACGGAGCAACTCACGCGGAGATCGACTATATTCTCACCAACTGATGGAGAAGCTTGCTCTATCTCTTGATAGTTCTGTCTTTCTGCGGGGAGACTCCGATTACCGCTTTCTTCGAGCGAAGGTACGATTTAGTCGAAAGCTAGAAGTGAAGGTTTACCACAGTGTCACAAAAAAGAAAAAAAGGTTAATGGCGGTGACAGACTGTAGGAACTGCTATCAAGTTATGACTGGTACATCAAGGAAGATCTTCTTGGTTGCCGTCAGTGGCTGCGTGCGCAATTTCCAGGCGCAGTAATCGTACTCATCTAATTTCTCAGCTGGTTTATCCATCCCACCAATACGTCTGCCCATCTCGCTGGAGGACTTCTTGGGGTCGTTTCGTTTCACGAAGGGTCCACTCTGATGTTCTTAGTGTCCATCTGTCGTATGTTCTTCTCATGATGTGAACGGACCATCGATGTTTCGCTTCGCAAGTATTCCGCTGGTTCACGAAGACGGGACATATCTCATATCCGTACTGCAAAGTACAGATGTTGTATGTGCTGGATCATTCTCAGAAGACGGCGCTCAAGCCCGCTGTGGTGACCCGTAGAGCTATTGACGTGGCTACAGTGCCGGCCCACGTCTCAGCTGCGTAACAGCGATCTGGTAGAACGCTTGAGTCGAACAAGTAGACTCGAAGCTTCAAGCCCGTAGTCGGTCTGCGGCTTTCTTGCAAGTCCCGAAGGCGGCTCAAGCCGCTCTTCTTCTCCTCTCAAGTCCTTCCCTCAAGTCATACTTCACATTGACTTCCGAGAAGACGCCCCTTCATGATAGCGGTGCCCAAGTCCATTTCCGCATCTTCGCAAAAGACATTCTTCGTAAACTTAGTATTCTTCCGATTTGTGCACCCCGATCTTCTTCCATGAATTGTTTACGTCCTTCGGCATCATCCCTGCTTCAGCGAACTGCTCGAAAAGAGAACATGATTAGCAAAACAAAGGTTCGACAGGAGATACTTATCAACTCAAATGCCTCTCTCGTCCCAGCCCAGTGACTTCATCACCCACTGCAATCCGCGCTGAACAGCCTCGGCGAGATTGTGTCTCCTTGTCGGACTCTTTTTCTAATTGAAATGGTCAGAGAGGCGATGGAACAACTGCACCGTCGTTGTACAGTTCTTGTAGAAGTTCGCTAACGTCCTCACGTAAGCTGGGTCGACTCATTGATCGACTTGTGCCAACAAAAGGGAGTTGGTTTCGGAGTTGTCGAGGGCTTTCTCGCAGTGTCGAAGGTTAGAACGAGAGGCAGTCGGTACTCCCGGCAGACTTCTACGACCTTCGAAACCGTCTGAATGTGGTCCATGCAGCTGAATCCTTTGCGAAATCCAGCTTGTTCTTGGGGTTGGGCTTCATCCAGTGTCCTAGATATGCGTGCGAAGATAATCTTCGTGAAGAGCTTGTACAGCACACTCAGCAGGCATATTGGACGGTAATTTCGAAGATCTTCCCGTTCACCCTTCTTAAAAAGAAGGACGGTTCTTGACGTTCTCCACTGGTCGGGAATCCTCTCCTTCTGAAGGTAAGATGTCAGGTGCGACGCGAGAATCTCGTGTAGACATTGTCCTCCGGCTCGCAGAAATTCGACGGAAAGATGGTCTGGTCCTGGAGCCGTGGACGTCCTCATGGTGTGAATCAACGCGCGCACTTCAGCAGGTAGAATTCGTGGTGGTACTTCTCCAGTGGGAACAACGGGCATCGGCACGGGTGTTGATGAGCGGAAGAGACTAGTGCAGAAGTTCTTCGCGATTTTCATCTTGTATCGGGAAGAAGTCGGAGTCCTGTCTTCGTTCAATAGTGCAGTCAGCGGTACGTGATATTCATAGAGGTCCCTTCTGCACTTCTTGAGACTTCGCCTTCCTTCGGCTGCTTCCAATATCTTGGCTTGCCTGTACTTCCTGAAATCCTTCTGCAAAGCTGTTCTGCAACTGGCGTTGGCTTTAGTCGCTCAAGACGGGTTGCATTCGGATCCCGCCTCAGAGATCTTCTTCTACCTAGTAACTCCTTGGTGGTCTTCGAAATGCGTTTCAAGTTTTTCTCGGAAGTCACTGAGGTGCACTCTCCGCAGGCTCGCAATCCTTTCAAAAGCAGGTTGTGGGTCGTACGCTAGATCTTCCTTGATGTACCAGTCATAACTTGATAGCAGTTCCTACAGTCTGTCACCGCCATTAACCTTTTTTTCTTTTTTGTGACACTGTGGTAAACCTTCACTTCTAGCTTTCGACTAAATCGTACCTTCGCTCGAAGAAAGCGGTAATCGGAGTCTCCCCGCAGAAAGACAGAACTATCAAGAGATAGAGCAAGCTTCTCCATCAGTTGGTGAGAATATAGTCGATCTCCGCGTGAGTTGCTCCGTTAGGCGTTCCCATGTCTACCGGAGCTGTTCTTTCTTCATGAAGATGGAAGACGAAAGAAAAGTCGCGAGAAGGCCAACGAGAGTTCGCCATTTTCGTTTCGGAGCCCACGTCCAGACTTCCCGATCCTATATTCCTTCTTTAGTGGCATTCCTATTTTCGCATTGAAGTCGCCCACAACAAACTGTAGGAGGACTTCTCGTTGCGGACAATCTCCTCCACGTCTTTGTAAAGAACGTCTAATTCTGAATCGTTAGCTGCTGATGTTTCGAAGTAGTAGTTAATGATGCTGATGGCCTTCTGACGTGAAGGTCGTAGTCGTTGGATGGCTAGTCGAGGTGATAGGATTCCATGCGAATCGACAAGATAATGGATGGGTGGGTGACATAAGCCGACGCGTTGACGTTTCGTGACGGAACCTTCTCATCCAAGTAATCCCATCACTCATCTGACGCACGTCCTTCTTCCTGATCTTCGTTTCCTAGAGCAGTGATAAGGTACTTGATATGCTTTGGAAAAAGTGACAAAAGTCTATCACTCCACAAAACGGCGTCAAAAATGATGATTTTCGCACAGGGGTGTAGCTCACTGTGGACATTATTATGGCGGCTACCAAGCCATGAGAAAATTCAAAAGTGTTCTAAAATCTGCATCTGTTCCTTATCTCCTAAAGTTTCATCCACGCAAAATACCGATTTCAACGAAAAAGCTTTTGGAATAAATAGATGTTTACGATTGTTATTGGTGAAGGTAAGCATTGTGCGGTAAGTTCCATCCCATGTTGTGCGAGAATATGAGTGGTTAGTTAGAAAATCAGTGCGAGCTTTTGGGAAGCAGAGGTGACGTACTGGTACTAGATAAAGTCGACTGTTATTTCCCCGAAAGATTGTAAGCGGAAAGCGGCATCTCGTAGCTTCGAACGTGTCAAGAGCTTTCGAGGTGGCTTTCGGACCACGCTTAGTATCGGCGCACGAGTCATCACAGCGGTAATGCTCGTCAGTCATACCGCAGCCACCCTCGCGTTTCTCTTAAGTTCTGCGATTTTGTGCAGTCGACTGTACTAGACGATATACTAGACATTACAAGACTGCTTCACGAATAAATTCGCTAATTCCTTTTTACGTGAAACAGAGTGAAATGTTATGGCGCCAGTTTGGAACAATGAGAGCTATGTAAAAATGGGTGTAAGGGCTACCTGAACGCGTACTTAAATAATTGAATAAGCAAACCTGATATTCCTGAACCCGTTTCGTTCTTGCTCTTACTCATATCATCTTCCGGTGACGTTTCTGAATCTTCATCACCTTCATCGTTAAAGAAGGCCCGAATCCGCTCTTTGTTTTCATCTTCATCTTCACCAGTCTGCGCATCGTCGGCAATTGTTACTTGGTTTCTACCGAAATCTCTTTCGGCCACATCATCGTATGTAATCTTTGCGGGGTTTCCACTCTGATCTTCAGTCTGCTCGTTATCAGAACTACTTTCCCCTTCGACCTCCACGTCTTCTCCATTCTGCTCGCCGTCAGATGTATCCTTTCCCTCGTTATTCTAAATTTTGACGAGTCAATAATGATGCTGTCCTCCATACGGGGAGCGTGAAACGGCAACTCACTGCCATGACCAGGCAGACGAAAATGAAGAACCTCAATTTCAGCCTCATTTGAACGCTGACTGTGTGAAAATGCTTACCAGGCACACCGCTGGTTGTGTTATTATTTTCAAAACCAATCAAAACCATGCATGTGATCAAATCTAAAGAGAACGGCTGTACATTAAAGTCAGTGTTAGTAAATAATTCAACTTCACTTCCACGAGGCAGCATTACAGAAGAACTCGGTGGTGGCGTAAACTAGAACAAAACGTTTGCGGAGTCTTTATACGTTTTGTCAAATTCGACATGAACAGTGCCTTTGCAAGCTCCACTTAAGGATTTTTTGCGTGATTTGTCCACTTTGTAGTGGAACAACTACTACAGCAGGAGATGCAAAGCCGTTGCTGCACTCTTATGTACCGTTGTGAAATGAGCCTCCTACAGAAAAGGGAAAATTGAGGACATAGCGTAAGCGGAATACTGAGGCCACTTGAAAGCAACTTTCACCGGCAATATGACCGATCTTGGTTTGGTGCCTTGTTGGTAGAGGGAGGATGGCAAACTTTCACATCAAAGTTAAAGATTTCACTTTTGCCAACGTCTTCAGAATCTGAATGTCATGAGCTTGTAGATACCAAAGAACAGTGAATCAATCGCGTTTTCTAGAAACTGAATGGAACTTTGATAAGACGACAAGGGAAGGTTCAATTGAACAAAGATGTGGTATACCAATGCGTCGCCTTTACTTAGCGATCGCTACTACGTATACCTTCCTCGTGCCAGCATAAAAATGGCTTTGAAACTCGCCGCGCAATGCTAGCCGTCGCTGTTGGATTTTATTAAAAAATATATGCTAACAAGGGAAGCGTGTGTAGCCGAAGTGGCCTTTTCAGGTGAGACCCATACTGCTTTGTCTGCCTTCATTATCTGCCAAGCGCCTATACGCTTAGTTATGGGCATTTTTCGGTTCAAAAAAATGAACGCAAAACTGGAGCAAAACCGCCCAAGCTCAAACGGTCCTGTATCGAGTATCAGAGCAGTTCATGCAATGGATGCATTTTGTCTGATATGCTAATACTTAACATTGCTTTATCTCAGCGCTGAAAAGATTATAACAATTGTTTTTGCCCAAATTTTGCATTGATTTTCCGTTTAAGAAACGCTCATGACTCGGCGTCCAGAGGCGCTTGGTAGATAATGAAGGCAGATTTGGAGCCACACAATGCTCTTCAAAGTGGTATGAGTCTCATCTAAAAACGCCACGCCACCAAACACGCTTTCCTTGTAAGCTGAATTGGTTGCCGAATCTATTATGACTTTTTGATTGTAATGATGACGATGACACCGCAAATTATATCACTGAGCAATATCTTCTCAAAGGCCGGACATACATAACGCCCACGCGATTCTCCCAACATGACAACTGTTACCAGTTCACGGCATGATCATGTTGCATTTCGGTTGTGATAGTTTTTCACACGACCTATTGCGGCTATCACAAGCGAGATGCAAGATAATCCCCATGCAATGGACCGGTAACAGTTGTCTTGTTAAAAGAACCGCGAGGCGATGAAATCGCTTCATGTATGCCCGGCCCTTTGGATTCACGTAACATCTACAAATCAAACTTCAAAAGAAACCGATCACCAGCCATTCTTGGTTCTTTCGCTAAAGAATGTGTTTTTTGATCCTTTTTATTTCAACCAAATGGCTCGAAGATCCACATGTTAGAAGATACACAGTATGCAAAAAGTCTCGATACAGACCCTGTTCCGTGTACTAAAAGCCGCATGGGCCCTTTTGCCGCACAGTTTTCAAAGGTTTCGCTCACCACATCGGCTTCTGATTTTGTACAATGCACTTACAAATAGGACCGTTGCCAAAATTTTAGCTCAAACCTTTGCTCAACTCGCTCAGTAAATTTCGTCACACACACACACACACACACACACACACACACACACACACACACACACACACACACACACACACACACACACACACACACACACACACACACACACACACACACACACACACACACACACACACACACACACACACACACACACACACACACACACACACACACACACACACACAATAAACAATAAACACGCACATACACGCATACAAACACACACACAATAAACACGCACACAATAAATACACAATAAACACATACAATAAACACACACACACAGACACATACAAACACAATAAACAATAAACACACGCACAATAAACACACAATAGACACACACAATAGACACACATGCAATAAACAATAAACACACACACGACACACATACAAACACACAATAAACACACACAATGAACACACACGCACACTAAACACACACACAACACGCACAACACACACACCAATCATGTAAACGCCCTTAGCCCGTTATTATAAGTAACCGAACCAAAGGTCTGTGTGTGAAATGAAATAAGTTGAAGTTTTTGAAACGAAATTCTTTTCAAATTGAAAAGTATGTGATTTTGATTTAACGTTTGCTGAAGTGCTTTCCAGACACTGTCACAGTATAATACAGATCTCGATAAAAATTGGTATCTAAAATTTTATAGTCGTAGCAATTACGCATACGCTTTTTCGTCGTAAACGAAAATCAATACGGAATCTTTTCTGAGACACTTGCGCTATGAAAGGTAGTAAAAAGCTTCATAACAAAACAATCAGGGTTTGCGTAGGTTCATAAAGTTGATAATCAACGGCGTTAAAGGTGTATATGAATGGGACGTCTGTACACTTCACGGGAAATGAGTGCCCAAAAAAAACCAAGAATTGTGATGAAAAGAACTGGCAAATGATTGCACTAATTGATATTAGGTTGTTCACTAAGTTTTGCAACTACTTTTCTTCTCTCACTTTGCATAAGACGCACTCAAATTTTTACCACCATTTAGGTCGTGTCGTATGCTACAACAGCCACAGTTCTGCAAAATTCTGTGATGTCGCAGCGGGGGTTACGGTAGGTATATGGTATGAGGGGAAAAATTACAGATTATTGCGAAATTGGGTGAGACTTTGCGTAGATGGGTTATCTGACATGCTGATTGCGAAAACGATATTGGTTTTGCATGGTAGGACCTTTTGCAAGGTTACGGTAGGTTTACGGTATGTCCCACGCTAAACAAGAAAAGAGGCGTTGATCTGATGAATGAATATGATATTCATATTCGGCACCTCAAATAACCCCATTATGCAAAACTGCGGCTCGTTTAACCTTGTGAGGGTGCCAAATCCTGAGTTGTCTTCGAATTCCATTTCTTCCTAACTGTGCTGACGAGGTAATTTTTAGCAATAATTCGGATTGTTATGCATAATCTAGATTGAGAACGGCTTCATTTTCACTTAAAACCTTACGAATCCTCGAATTTCGCCAGTTTTTGAAAAACTCTCGGATTTTCTATTTTGTCATCAGAAAGCAAGCGGTTTGTGTCAGTCTATAGCTCACACGGCAGTCTACACAGCTTCAATTTGAGCGCGCCAATACAAAAAGCGAGAATTTACTGACTCAGTTGCAAACTCAGTGAAAGTGTAATATGTCATCTCTAATATACATGAAGCAAGTGAGAGGATGTAAGAGAAGAATGAAGCAGCAAATAAGCACACGAACCCTGAATGTGGCTAAAATAAGTTACAGCACAGATTTCATTACAACGTTTTGATCCGAGCAACGTTTTTGAGTACTTTCAAGCCGTTTTCCATTCGGGCACGCGAAGGCAACGTAAAGTTGAATATGGGAAAATACATCAGTTCCAAGATGGAAGCCCACATTTATGAGACTTTGCCCTTGGGCTTGGTGATGTCATGACGAAAGCCAGTCATATGGGAAACTGGCGCCGTCGCACTCGTGAAGGAACGCTTTTGTCTGTGTAATTGTCAGTTCTTGGTATGAGCACGAACTGACCCTTCCGTTCTCTCGTAGCGACGTATCCAAGGACCCAACGTCCAAATTGGTGGCTCTTAGTCGTGTTCCGTTGAATGGAACTTTTCAACATCCAGAATTCTAAGCAAAATCACAATCGAGTTTTTCTTTAGTCGTAGGATATGAGAGGGGCAATTTTACGCTTCATACTGTTCAAAAATCGTGCTTTATTTGCAATATACATCGCGTGTGACCTCGTCTACTTTCATACTCTTTTACTCCCCTGCAAGCCTGTTCATTGTCTGTTCATTAACGTCACCGTCTCGCGGCGCTAATATGGCGCGGTCAAGGCGTCAATATCGAAAATCTGATCTTCAAATACTTCTTGAACAAGATCTCCGCTGACGATTACTTCTGGAAATTCCACATAGCCTTCCCCATCTTCTTCGGGGAGGCATGCAAGTGGTACTCAGGCAGCCGACTGCTGCCGCAGCCAGTCGCCAGAGCTGGCGTCAATGCTCCGCATACGAAAATAATTGCTAGCCGTCTGAAATCTTCTGCCAAGAGGTTCCTCGCACCTCGTCGCGCTGAGGTGCGATACCAGCCTCAGGGACAACGCGATATTATAGATACCTATATCATTTTGAACAGCAAAGATCCTACAACTCACTGATAAAAAGCAAATGAACACACAGAGTAGAGTTTTGCTAGAGGAGAACAGTTATGCAGTTTAATTCCTCAAAATAACCAGAAGTTGAAATAATTCAATATGCAGAGTATTGTCTAGTTATGAAGATTTTCTAGGATTCAAAATTGGAGGACGTACGAGACATAATGACGAAAAAAATCTGTTAAAGTTGGCATTCCAAGACTTAGTGATATTAAGCGAGCTGAATATGCCAAGATAGGTTGAATGAGCCGGGGTAAGTCGAAAATTGAGTAGGCCACTATGGAAATATGTCACGTTTGCCAATATAAAAAAGAACAGCGTAGATCATCAAGAACTTACTAGATTGTAAAGAAAGTACCCCTGCAATTTTGGAAATTTTATTTTCAGAATCATTTTTTTCGCATTCGGTCAAATTTTTGCAATATATTTTTTTGCAATGTCTCCTTTTTCGGTGTATAAATCAGATACGATGGGATTAGATGAAAGTTAGAAACTTTAGAAAGCTTAAGCTATCTGCCACAAAATA